GGAAAGAAAAATGTTAGAGAGAGAGAGAGAGAGAGAGAGATAGATAGATAGATAGATAGATAGATAGATAGATAGATATAGACAAACAGACAGATTGCTCTTACAGAGCACCCAGGTTCAATTCCCAGCACCCACATGGCAGCTAACAACTGTCCATAACTCCAGTTCCAGGGGATTCAACACCCTCTTCTGACCTCCATGGGCACTGCATGACATGGGTACACTTACACACATGTAGGCAATATGCTCATACACACAAAATTAAAAAAATAAATAAATTTTTTAAATTTAAAAGCTGGGTATAGTGGTGCATGCCTTTAGTCCCAGCACTTGGGAGGCAGAGGCAGGCGGATCTCTATGAGTTCAAGGCCATCCTGGTCTACATAGTGAGTTCCAGGCCAGCTGGGGCTACAGGGAGACCCTGTGTCAAAAAGACAAAATAAATTTTTTTTAAAAACAAAGAAAGAAAAATCCAATTCAGCATTGTCTTCAATAGATGTACCATAAAGACTCAAATAGGTGGAAAATAAGCAAAGGAAAAACATGTACAATTCAAACAGCATCAGAAGACTGGGATCAGATGATGATATTCTTTTTTCTTATTATAGAAAACAGATTTTTACAAATACATGTGATTATGCATTTATGTCATATGCTGGACCATAAACCAAATCTTAATAAACTTAAAAGGATGAAAATTATACCTATATATGACACACGCAAACACAGGCATCCCACACGTGCCTTCTGGCTGTCCCCACCACTTCCAAGCATCTATTGATAGTGACCCATGATAGGAGAGAAGAGGCAGCAGGTCACATAAAAGATGAACCACCTACAATAGCAAACTGAATAATCTACCAAGGCAAACCGAGAACTTATGGCCAATGTAGCTTCGGATAATCTTACATTTAAACAAAATGTATAAATTTCTTTTTAAAAGCAAACTCCTATCTAATGTTATGGGGGAAAAATAAAAATATCCTTTTTTCTGATGAAGCATCTATCCTGTGTTCCGTAGAATTCCTTATGGAAGATGAAAGTCTTCACCCAACCAAACAATGCTGAAACACACAAGTGTTCTTGTAAGCAGCATAACAGTAACCTGGTGCGTGAGGCCAGTCCAGCCTTGTCTCAACTGCAGTTGATCTTCATTCAGTTCACACTCATTCCTGCTCAGTGACAGGACGTCCACAAAAGGCTGCTTTTCTTCATTCAGTGACTCCATGAAGGACAGTAGACTCTGCAATTAGAAGAGTATTTTAATATTTCATTTATTATTTTTATTTTTTTGCGTATGAATGTTTTGCCTGCATGTAAGTGTACCATGTGCATGCAAGGCCCACAGAGGCCAGAAGAGGGTGCTGGATCCCCTAGAACTGGAGTTATGGATGGCTATTAGCCACCAAGTGGGTTCTGGGGCATTGAATCTGGGTTCTCTGGAAGAACAGCAAGTGTTCTTAACTGCTGAGCCATCTCATCTCTTTAACCCCAAGAAGAGCATTTTAAAAATTGAAACACTTCATTCCATTTCTAAAATGTAATCTGGTATCTTAAAGTCTATAGCCAAAGGCTAAATTTAAGTTTTTACTTAGATAAAGGCAAAATTTATGAACTGTATATCTACTTTCTGATCTGGTTTCTTTCTGATAATTTGAGTACTGGAAAAATGGCATGGGTCTCAGCCTGTGGCTTTTGTTAGTAATACTGGATTTCTACTGGAAGGGAGTGGCAAAGCCACCTGGCTCTAGAGGATAGATCATGATGCCAAATGCGAAACTGCTCAGCCCAGAGTACACAGGAGAATGGCTACAGTTGTCACGCAAAAATGGAGGATTTTGTGTGTTTGAGACAGCATTTCATTCTGTGCCCCAGGCTGGTTTGATAGCTAAGGCTGGCCTCAGACTCACAACAATCCTCCTGCCTCACCCTCCACAAAAACTGGGAATACACACATGAGCCACAAAATGATTTTCAAAGTGCCTATGACTAATAATTGTGCCAACTCTCCCCAGTGTATTCTACACACACTAAAAATCACTTTCTCCCTGTCCTCAAAATTTCATAAACAAAACTTTCCTTGGTTTACATTTGTGTGCATTTGTATTAGTGTTTAATTCCATAAACATTATTTAAAACATTATATGATCATTGAAAATGTTAATTATAAATCACATGAGCTGAGTATTGTTGGAGGGATATTTACAGTCCCAGAATGATGGAGACTAAGACAGAAAGATCATTTGAACTCAAGATTTCAGGACCAGCCTAAGCTACACAGCAAGACCCGGACTCAAAAATAAACAAACAAGAGCTGGAGAGATGGTTCAGTAGCCAAGAACACTGGCTGTCAAGCTGGGCATGGTGGTGCACACCTTTAGTCCCAGCACTCAGGAGGCAGTGGCAGGCGGATCTCTATGAGTTCGAGGCTAGCCTGGTCTACATAGCAAGTTCCAAGTCAACTCAGAATATAGGGAGACTCTGACTGAAAAAGACAAAGAAAACAAAAACAAAACAAAAAAACAAGAGCACTGGATGTTTTTACAGAGGACCCAGGTTCATTTCCCAGTACCCACATGCTGGCTTGCGACCAGCCATAACTCCAGTTCCAGATAATCCAACACCCTTTCCTGACCTCCATGGGCATTTGCATATACATGGTACACTTACATACAGGCAAAACACTCCTATACATAAATAAATGAAACAAAATAACAATTTACTATATCTCTGACAATAACTTCATAAAGCCTTTAAGAAACATGCATCTATGATACATTAGTACATCAAAGATGTAAGTACGAATAAGGTACTGCGTATCCTGTCAGTATAGAGAATCTCACAGGAGTGCTAAGAGGGACAAGGCCCAAGGACCCCATGCTGTTCAAATCAAGAGGATGAGAGAATTTCTGGTCCTTTTTCAACCCCCTAATCCAAGCCTAATAGGGTGGCATGGTCCACCAAGTCATGTGATCCATTCAGTGTTAGGTTTGCTCCCTCTAAGCAATGGGGTACTGGAAGCACGGAGTGCTATGTAGGCACAGAGCAGCAGTTTCCTTACGCAGGACAGAGAAATGGTGGGAAATACAAACTATAGACAATGGGATCTAAGAAACCTTCACTGGCACCTTCAAGATTATACAGCTAATAATTAACTTGTCCTGGAAAATCAACAGAACGCACTAAAAACTAGACGCTGAGCACTAGACTCTGCTTTTGAGCAGCTCCATAACTGCAGATATCATTTAGTCCCTCTAAAACTTAGTGTCTTCACAGGCAAAGGTGAAATAGCACCACCAGCATCAGCAAGAAAAGACCGAGCAGCAAGGGGCCTGTCACAGAGCAAATGGTCACAGTACGATGCTGATAATCCTCACTTCAGAGGACTCCTGGTTGAGGGTCTGTACAATAATTCTGAGACGCCCAACTGACAACTTCCTGATTTTTCCTTGCATTCAATATTCATAAAGAAGGCATAGTCTATTCAAAACAAAGAACTGGAGAACTTTTTGAGCAAGATAATAAATCTTAGGCCTCATGGGCCATCTGGCCTCTCACAACTATGAAGGTTGCAGTATGAAGCTATCTACATACAGATAGCACTTAAATGGACATAGTTCTATTCTAAAACCATTTTATTTGCAAAAGCATATATCCAGGTTCAGAGGCTATGGTTTGCCACCCTGTGCTGTAGAGCCTTGTAGCCCGAATTACTCCAAGGACCAGTAATAGCAAAAAGCTCCATAGAAATGTAGAATCTCAGACGGTGCCAGGAACTCCTGAATCTAAGAGCTTATTACAACAGGAGTATCTACAAAAGCTTTGGAGACATCAACCATCCTAGAATTCAGCCCTGGGAACTGGGGTTGGTTTACTAAAAATATTTAAATATTTAACTCTTCCAGAGTTTCCTTAAGATATACTTGTGACTCTTCCCCAGAATGACAAGCAGGTGTTGCAGACACACTTACATGGTACTTTTTAAAGTAGGTCTCACTTGCGGACTCCTCCAGCATCTTCTGGAGTCTCTCCTCTTGAAGAGTTATCCAGATCTTAGCATCCTTCACCTTATCCTGGAATTCATAAACCTGCACACATGTACATGCACAAATATTTAAACTGTACCCTGCAGAGACTTGGTGATTTCTTTTAATGATAAAATTAACTTGAAAGAACAGTGAAGTAATGTTTTCAATAAACATCAATGAATCACTATGTTAAGGAGTAATTTTGCTGGTTCCTGCAATACTGTAAGTTTAAAATAGATTAAAACTGAACATCTTACTACACTCTAACAACAACAACAAAAAAAAAAAAAAAAAGCAAGAACATGCCCCTCCCCTTTGCCTACCCACCTCTATTTTTCTTCCATTTTAGGATTTCTTCCATTTTAGGAAACATTATTCGAAATCACTTTTAAAATTTTTGTATTATTTGTGTGTGTGTGTGTGTGTGTGTGTGTGTGTGTGTGTGTGTGAAGGGTGCATGTGCCACAGCATGCTTGTGGAGCTTAGAGGACAACTTTGTGGAGCTGGATCTCTCCTTCCGACTTTACATGGGTTCTGAAAATGAAATCTGGGGTGTCAGACTTGGACAGCAAGCATCAGGTACTTTTACAGCTGAGCCATCTCAATAGTACCCTAAATCACTATATAGGGGGCTCTTTGAAAGAATACATTTCAGTAAATCAAAATATGAAGCAATTCAGGAGAGGTTCCTTCCCCCAAAACAGCACTCACACCAAAAATATCCTGAGTAGTTTATAGATCCTAAAATAAAAGTCCTAAAGGTTTGGGAAGTGCTGTCCTGTAGAACTGAGGGTCATTTTTGGTTTGTTTGGCTTAGAGTCTTGCTTCGGGGGTGGGCTTCAGGGGTGGGCTTGCTTACATCTGGACACAGACTTTGTTGCTTGGGAGTAAATCCACCTTCCTATTCACTTGTCTTCCTATTTTAATAAGCAAAAATGCTGATAATATTTTTACACCCAATTTCATGGACAGTTGAAAAAATTTTTAATTTTATTTTTATATGAAGAATAATTGTAGCAGAATTCTAAGTGTCAGCTTAAATGTCATTTAGAATCAGCAACAGCCTGGCTCATGGACCCAATCCAACAGCTGGAAAAGCAGCCCAGTTCAAAGAAAACACATGCAAAGGTGTCCGAGAAAGTCATGGACAATGAATTTTAAACTAACACTGATTTTACTAAACATTTTACAAAATTCACAGTACTCATTTGTCTTCATGGATACAGAACAAGCTTCTTTTCAGCTCAGTGTTTTTTTTAAAAAATATTTATTTTTATTTTATGTGTATGCGCATTTCACCTGCATGTAAGTAAGTGCACCACATGCATGCAATATCCACAGAGATCAGAAGAGGGCACCAGACCCCCTGGAACTGGAGTTAAGGATGCTGTTAGCCATTATGTGGGTGCTAGGATCAGAACTTGGGTCCTCTGGAAGGGCAGACAGTGCTCTTAACCACTGAGCCATCTCTCCAGTTCCCCAACTCAGTGATTTTACGAACATTTCTACCCACATTGTGTGAGTGATTAAAAGGGAAACTGAGTCATCCATGGCAATACAACAGTGATTCAAAGGCATCTCCACAAACAAGGAGCAACAGGGCAGCAGAGAGCTGCCTCTATGTAAATTACACAACTCCATTCGCATGCAGTTAAAAACAAAAATGGGAACATATTTGCCAGTGTGAGGCAAAGTGAAAATGTGCTAAATCAGATGGCAATGCTACATAATTGTGTAATTCTAAAAGTTATTTAGCTGAATGCTTAAATAGCTAAATTTTATGGTATATAAATTTTTCAGTAAAGCAAATAAAAGTTATAATAGCGCAAAACTTGCTATCTCTAAAACTGTTTGAAAACCAGCTCAACCTAACTTTTCCTATACCACGTCTTCTAAAATTGGCTCCTGCATCTCACTGAAAGGCCAGTGTGTCTCAGGCTTAAACACCAGAGAGGGCACTATTGGGAGGTGGTAGAGACTCAGAGGTTGGGCCCAATGGGAAGTTTTATGTCATTGAGGATGCATCTAAAAGGAACCACGGAACTCTAGTATCTTTCTTCTGTTCACTCTCCTGGCTCTGCCACACTGCCATTATGATTTGCCCCCTTAGGCTGACCAGTGAATGAAAGCTCTGAAACTATGAGCTATGATAAACCTTTTCTCTTTATAAGTTGCTTATCACATGTTATTTGTCACAGTAACACAAAAATAATACAATGCCTATTTGGAAGGTGTTTTAGAAAAGTCAGCAAAGCTTGAGAAACTATCACTTTAACTTTTAAAAAATTAAACAAAACTTATTACTAATTCAACTAATTCAAATATTAGTTTCCTGGAAGGAACAGTAGAGACTAAAAAGAAGCATTATGGAATATTGTAGATGATAAAACTGTTTTACATCATGATTTCAGGTATGGTTTACAATATTTGTATAAGCTGCACATTTAAGATCTATTTGTACTTCAATTTTCAAAATTAAACCATTAGTACTATAGAAAAGAATGCACTGATTAGGCACTTACAAAGCATACCTCAGCTGTACCCCTAGCGCCAGGCATGTCCTTTGAATACTTTAGGAACTGCGCCACATAGGTCATGATTGACTTTTCATCAGGATTTACAACATCTACATCTGTAAAACACATCATATCATCAATCAGCTTAGAAGAGACTTGCCATAGTTCATACTCAAGAAGAGACTCTAGTATCATCCTCAGCCATGGGTTCAAGGGCTTTTGAAACTAACCAGTGTACCAGCCATGGTCCACTCTGCTCACAGAGTGGCCCCAACACTATGGAGAAGTTAAGAATGTAAATCTAGAAGCTGGAGAGATGTCTCAGCAGTTAAGAGCTCTGACTGCTCTTGCAGGGGACCCATGTTCAGTTCCCAGTACCCATATGACAGTTAACCACCACCCAAAACTCCAGTTCCAGGGAATCCAAAGCCCTCTTCTGACTTCTGTGAGCACTGCGCAACATGGGTATACTTACATACACGAGACAATACACTCATACACATAAAAAATTATAAAATATTTTAAAAATAAATTTCTAACATACGCTGAAAAACAAGTCAAATTCTGAAATACTTCTCTGCTACTTTATCTATGTATTAACATGAAAGACAACTAAACAACATAGGTGCCAGAACTCTATTCATAATTCTGCAACCTGAGGCCTACAGGTGGTCTACAAGAGCTTGGTAAAAATCAACAAAAGCATTCTTGGCCTACTTGGACTTCATAATAAAGTAAATCATACTTTGTTACTTATAAATTATGTGCTACACATGCTTTATGTAAGTCAAATCTATAATAAGCAACTCTAGATGTGTGTTTCCCACACTGTTGAGAGGTGGTCACTGAGTACTTATAATCTATACTCCTGCTTAGACAATATAACTAGACTTACCCCTGGGATCTGTAGGCATATTACAATGTTCTTTATACACCCTTCAATCCTATATACCCTTTGATAATTTTAAATTTTTTATCCTTATTTGTGTGTGTCCGTGTCTGTGTCTATATGGAGCATGCATGTGCCAGGATGCACATGTGGTCAGGACAACTTGCAGGAGTGGGTTTGCTCTTTCCACCATATGGGTCCTGGGGATTGATCTCAGGTCATCAGGTTTGGCAGCAAGCACCTTTACTCACCAAGTCATCTCATCAGCCCAACTTTATTTATTTACTTACTTATTCACTCAGTCACTCACTCACTCACTCATTCATTCATTTAGAGACCAAGTCTCACTATGCAGCCCTGGATGGCCTAGAACTATGTAGACTAGGTTAGCCTGAAACTCAGAGATCTTCCTGCCTCTGTATCCCAAGTACTAGGATTAAAGGGCTACACCACCATACCAGCTTAACTTTTTTTCATTTTTATTTTATGTATATGAGTATTTTGCCATACACATGCATGCCTGGTGCTCAGACAGGCCAGAAGAGGGCATTGGATCCTCTGGAAATGGAGTTACAGATACTTGTAAGCTGCATGTGGGGTCCTCCGAACTGAACCAGGTTCTCTGCGAAAGCCGCATGTGTTCTTAACTGCTGAGCCATCTCTCCAGCCCTGCAACTTTAATTTTTATAAATAACATGTTTATGTTGAGAAACAATATGATTCATAGTAGAGTGTTTTCAGAAAGAAACATTTAAATAATAATTCTATAAAGTTATTTTTAAATCATAATTTGAAAATGAGCTCTGTGACTATAACCAGTGCAGTTATTCAGGGTTTTCTGGTTGTTAACAAACACAAATGACTGAACAGAATAAATGGCAAAGTGTGGCCAACCATATATGGAGAACAGGGAGGCAGCAATTCCTGCTCTCCCAAGGGTTCAACTTCAGGAGGAGAGAGTGAGAAAAGAAATACAGAAACACGTGTAATTCAAGACTTAAAGAAGCAGCTTGCAGGAAAGACAAAGCTCAGAAATAATGGAGTCAAGGCATAATACAGAACACATTAGAAGGAAATTAAGACAAAGCCTCAGAGTACTTCCAATAAAGACACTGCTTGCATTTAGCTGTGGCCTCCTTCCCTCAAGAACTAATAGGTGCAAATTCCTAATTCCATAAAACTCAATAGAGTTGAAGTTAAACCTTCCTGAACTAAAATACACAGCTCCGTTTGCTTTCTAATCAGCTTTATCCTGGACCTTAAGACAATGATCATTCTCAGGAGAAATGGTTCTCTACCTTCTGGCTCTAGCAATCTGGGGATTTTCAATTCGTGTTCTGCAATCCTGAAGGCCTCTTTCAGATTGTCTTTGTTGGATCTGTGCCTCACACTCTTCATGTCGATGAGGTCTGGCCGCAAGGCATGAATGACAGCCAAAAAAGCCATCCCATTTCTCCAGCTTGATTTAAAATCCGTCACACTGACAGACTGAGACCTGTCACAACAGGACATAATATAGATAGTTAAAAACAATACAGCAAAATGCTTCCACAATCTCCAATAATAATGGAAAGATAATTCAGAGAATCAAATAAATGGTATAAATCAAATCATTCTAGGAAAAAATTTCATTTTAATCTTATTGTCAAATGAGAGTAAAAGGTCAAGTGTGAGGATCCTTAGAACACCATAGAGCATTAGTCCTCAGTGTGGTACCCCATCCTGCAGCATCAGCATCTCCTGAGATGGCAGTGGTGGAAATGCAAAGTCCCAGGCCCCTCTCTCTCTCAAGTGCCCCAAACTCCAGGTGTGAACCTAGAGTCTGTGCCTCTAACCCTTCCACCCCTGGTGATGATGATATCCTTTGTTCAATGGCCTTTGGCTGGAACCTGACTTTAGATGTCTACACATAGTTAATATCACTAGAAGAATCAATTACTTTTCTCCCTAAAGTAATAAAATGATTTATTGGACCAAATCCATGCCTAGTACCTCACTGAATGATGGCCCAAACTGCAAAAAGCTCATGATCTATTACTTAAGAGGTGCTGCATCTTAGTAAGCTTAGCACCAGCTCTACAACTGAAAACTAAGGTGGGACGTGGAGAAAAAATAAACTGTAGTAAAATATAGGACTTTGAGAGGGTTTGAAGGTTAGTTATGCACAAAGGAAATAAATCTGAATAGCAATATAATAAAGCTTTTCACACATGCTATTGAGAATCAAAAGTAATAATAATAATAAAATTGTCTATAGGAAATTTAAGAAAATGTCCATTTACTACCTTGTGCAAGGCCCTGGGGTTAGATTCCCAGAGTCAAAGAGAAAAATGTTCCTTCAATATATTTAAAACCTATAACGTGCACAAACACACACACACACACACACACACACACACACACACACATACACACACCCCTGTGTTTCACATAAAATACAGTGACATATATCAGCACTTCATACTTCTTCAGAAAGCTGCTTTTTGCAGTGGGCAGCAGTCAATAAAGACAATCATAACTTGTCAAAGTGCTAAGAATAATTGTGTTGAAGGCTCAGTTCAATTCCCAGCACCCATGTAAAAGTGGAAGGAGAGAACCAACTCCAGAGTTGTCCCCTGACCTCCAGGCACATACACTATGACAACGTACATATCACACATAAAAAAATAATAAATAAATATAAATAAAAATGTGTCTCTGGGCTCTTCAAGACCAGTTAGGAAACTGAGTTGAGTTCCCAAGGAATGAGGTCTCTAAATATAATCATAGGCAACACCAAGAGACAACTTGGTGTATCAGTTACTAATTTGTTCACTCACTCCTTCATTCGGCGCACATTTATCATAAACTCCCATGATGCTGGGTCCCAAAGACACACATGGTCTTGGACTGGTGAGATGGCTCACTAGGCAAAGGTGCTTGCCACGCAAGTCTGGCCACCTCCGTTAAATCCCTGAGACCCACATAAAAGTAGAAGAGGAGGACAACTCCACACAATTGTCCTCTGACCACTATAAGTGCACTGTGGCATGCTCACATCTGCACACACACACACACACACACACACACACACACACACACACACAATAATAATAATAAATCCTTTTTAAATGAAAAAATAATGGCATGGTCTTGACTTTTAAAGAACTTATTGTGGTGTGATGATTCAGCTTACAAGTTAATGGGATTTAGAATCACCATGGAAGGTTTGGGAGGTGGGAAGACCCTGTGGTACCATTCCTTGGGTTGGGGAACCAGGCTGAGTGAAAAGGAGAAAGCAAGCTGAGCACTAGGAGTCACCACTCTCTGCTTCCTGACTGTGCACGCAGCGTGACCAGCCTCCCCCTGCTCCAGCCACCACACCTTCCCTACCATGAAGGACTTTATGCCATGGAACTTAAGCTAAAATAAGCCCTGCCTTAAGCCACCTTTGTCCAGTATTTTGTTGCAGCAATGTCAAGTAACTATTACAAGTATGTAAAACTCTAGATCTAAAGCTACCTTCTACATGGATGGGGAAATTGTGCCTAAACACAGCTATTTAAGTACCACTTTACTTCTCCACAGTAATAAACCACTTAGACACAGCCAACTGGAATAAGTTTACCCATATACATCATCTTCTGGCCTTTGAAACCTGAAGTAGTTGAGCCCACCACCATCCACATTGGAAGATTCACTAGGAAATAAAAGTGTTTCCATGGATGTACCACCCAGTCTGCTTGAAATTCAGACCTGGAAATCCATGATGTGTGGATGGATACAGCTGCCCTGTCATGTCTCTTCTGGACACAGCAAACTACTTACATGGCGCACTGCTCCTGGGCCCACTGAAGAAGAGCCTTTTTTGCAGACAACTGCCATCTTGCTTGGGCTTGGGCTTTGGAGCTCTTCTTAGTCGGAGGACTTGAGGTAGGAGATGAGTTGGTCACACTCACAACCTCCAGGGAAGGTTGATTGTAATCACAAGAAAGAGTCCGGGCAAGCTCCTCAATCTAAGGAAAGCATAGCTGTTAACATATATAGAACCTAAAAAGCATCCTATAACAGGAACAGCTTATTGTGGGTGAAATGAACTTGAAAACCCTTGAACATTTGACATTTGGGGTTACGTTTTGGCTTTCCTTCAGTCTAGACGGGAGTCATCTCATACCTACCCAAGAATGGCATCCTATACATAGGGAAAGCAACCATTCATCCCCTGAGGAACCCACAGAGCACTGCCAATACCTGATAAACTAAACTGAGCTGTGAGCCCTGTTGACACAGTAGTCAAGCATCTTTAGAGACTGGGTCAACTGGAATGCATCTCTGATTATAAACCATTAAGAACAAAACTATGTGGGGCTGGAGAGATGGCTCAGCGGTTAATAACACTGACTATTCTTGCAGAAGACCTGGGTTCAAATCCCAGAACCCACATGGCAGCTAACAACTGTCCGTAGTTCCAGTTCCAGGGGATCTGAAAGCCTCTTCTGTCCTCTGTGGGCATTGCATGACACAGGTGCACTCACCTACATGCAGGAATAACACTCATACTCATAAAATAAAAATAAATAAAATTTTTATAAAAAGAACAAATGTACATTAAAAAAAATAAGCACAGAACAGGAAACATCAATAGCAAAAATAAAATCACCATTGAGAACGTGAAAAAAACAGGCCAGTAAGGTGGCTTAGCGGGTAAAGGTGCCTGCTGATTTGAGTTCAATCCCTAGAACATAACTAAGGGTGGAAGGAGAGAACCAGCTCCACCACGTTGTTGTCTGGCTTCCATATGCGTGCATGCCATGGCTTACATACTCACCGCTCCCACCACCACACACTAACAATAAATAAAACTTTTTTTACAAGAACATAAAGAGGGGCTGGAGAGATGGCTCAGTGGTTAAGAGCACTGGCTTCTCTTGTAGAGGACCCAGGTTCAGTTCCCAGCACCCACATGGTAGCTAATAGCAGTCTGTAACTCCACTGTTACTGTTACAGACACTGGCTGGCCTAGAACTCCCAATGTAGACTAGACTGGTCTTGAACTCACACACTCCCCGCTAAGTGCTGGAATTAAAGATGTACATTACCATACCCGGCTCAAATATTCTCTTTTGGACCCTGTGGACACCTACATTCACAATGGATACACCACACACAGGAGACACACACATATGTACATAATTTGAAATAAAATTGTCTTAAAAATTTGAAAACATCGCCGGGCATGGTGGTGCAGGCCTTTAATCCCAGCACTTAAGAGGCAGAGGCAGGTGGATCTCTGTGAGTTCAAGGCCAGCCTGGTCTACACAGTGCGTTCCAGGCCAGCTGGGGTTACAGAGAGACCCTGTCTCAAAAAGACCAAAAAAAATAATTTTTTTAATATAAAAGCATAATCCTCTAAGTAATTTAAGGGATCTCCCTACATATACGCAACAAAAGGAAGACCATGCCATGCGATAGAGGTGAATGCTTTCATACAGTGAAGGTGAGAGCTTATGAAACTGGATACTCATACAAGCTAGTAAACACAAATTGATCCAAACTTAGTATCTATTTCAATCTTAAAAAGATCAGTCCCTAAACATAGAAATATTTAATGTTTCCCTCCATAATTGACAGAAAAGCCATATGACCAATAATAGCAGATGTGCTAGATACAGGGGCACACACCGGCAGTCTTAGTACTCAGGAAACTGAGCCAGGAAGATCATTTAGGCTTGGGATCATTTAAGACAAATCTGGACAACATAGTGAGACCCCCATCTCAACAACAACATTAATACGAGGTGCAACCAACCTCCTTAGCAAAGTTGAGCTGGTCAGCATTGATTTGATAGGCATTGTACATAAAATGGCAAAAGCAACGTTGTTTTCAAGTGCCTTCCAAAGATTTCCCGAAGAGCTGGGGATTCAGCTCTGTGGTGGAGCACTTGTGGAACATGTACGAGACCCCAAGCTACGTTCAAGTGCTCAGTAGTCAGACTGATTAGCAGCCAACGTTTGTGCAGTGCAGCTACAGAACAGTTCCATCAGGAGAGAGAACTGTGTTGAATACTGGGGGTGTGACTAGAGAAGGTCTGGGATGCCAGCCGAGTTTTCTTTGTATTGTGGGTGGTGATGATAAGGATATGCTTAATTTGTGAAAATTCATGGCACTTTATGCATGAGATTTGGATAATTTTCTCTGTGTGTGTTAGATTTTAATGTTTACTTAAAATAATATAACAAATAATTTTAAAAAGTGTTAAAGTTTCAAATCCTATGTCATAATCCCACAAATTATCTTCCAGGGATTTGGGCTGTGAAATTATTAAGATTGTACACAAAAGTTTTTTTAATCTTAAGAGTATTATTCTTGGAATTACTTATAATCAGAAATAAATGTGAGCATTCTGGTCATCCATTAATGAAATATAGTACTTTACAACAAACACCGGGCCTTTATTAAAATATATGTAAATTTCTGGGCCAGGTCTGGTGGTGCACACCCTTAATCTCAGCACTTAGAAGACAGAGGCAGGCAGATGGCTGCAAGATTGAGACCAGCCTGGGATAGTCTACATAGTGAATTCCAGGCCTGCTGGGGCTAATGGTGAGACCCTATTTCCAAAAAAAAAGATACCCATTAGAACATTTTGAAAGAGTGTGAGTAATGTGACTCATGTTGTTTAAAATCTAGTTGCTCCTCAGTATCTATGGGAAACTGGCTCCACGACTCCTTCTGATACTAACAGCTCAGGATGAAGTCCCTTATATAACATGGCATACTATTTGTATATAACTTTGTGCATCCTCAGCATTGCTTAAGTCATCTCTAGGTTACTTATAATACTGGTAATAGCTAACACAATGGAACTGCTATGAAAACAGGTGTTACACTACATTAAAGACTAATGACAGCTAGGTGTGATGCTGCAGGCCTTTAATCCCAGCACCTGGGAGGCAGAGGCAGGAAGATCTGAGTTTGAGGCCAGCCTGGTCTACATAGAGCTCCAAATCAGTCAGGGTTACAGAGTGAGACCTTGTCTTTTTAAAACTATTTTATTTATTATTTTTATTTTATGTGTACAAGTGTATTGCCTACATGTATGTAAGTACACCTGTGTCATGCAATGCCCTTGGAAGTCAGAAGAGGGCGTCAGATTCCCCTGGAACTGGATTTACAGATGGTTGTTAACCACCGTGTGGGTGCTGTGAAATGAACCTGGGTCCTCTGCAGGAGCAGTCAGTGCTCTTAACTGCTTAACTGCTGAGCCATCTCTCCAGCCCATGAGACTCTATCTTTAAAAAAAAAAAAAAAAAAAAAAAAAAAAAAAAAAAAAAAGACAAAAAAAGTCTATACTTTTTCTATATGAAAAATGTCTATAAACATTTTTCAGAATTATGTACAAGGTTTGCTTGGTTGAATCCCCTCATGCAGGACCCATATGTAACTATATTAATTCCCACTTTATACATAAGTTATCTGAACAGCACACTATGAATGAATTTTGTCTTTTATTATCTCTATTGAAATTAATTATACTTAAAATACCCAGTTAGTATGGGGAGTGAGAGCAAATACCTACAAACTATCAAATTTAGGCACTTTACCACATTTGGTCCTGTTTTCCTCTCTCCAGTACCACTCTCCTCCTTTCCCAGAGGAAAAACCACAATCCTAAATTTAGTTTTCAACATCCACATGTATATAATTTTATTCCAAACACAAACGCACACAATCCTGAATATCTAAATTTTATATCAATTAGTTGTGCAATGTTCTAGTATTTCTAAAATAAATATTTATTTCCCTCCCATATTTTATAGCTATTTTTAAACAATAATAAGTAAGCACTCTGAAGATGGGTCAATTCTGGGTCAGTTGCAACCACACTGTGGTGGTAGTAATACAGAGTAGGACAGGTTTGAGCATTTGACATTTACCTTCCAAAAAGAAAACAACAGAAGTGGCAAAAGGCCTGCCACGCACCTTTCCTAAATGAAATCTGGGCTCCAATTAAAATCCAAACAAGGATACATTAAACAAACCAAAGGGTACTTGTCTGATTCTCAACTTTGAGGCTCCAAGTGTCCCAAGAACCCTGAAGATGAAACTTATTCTAGAAAAGTATCAACCACAGAGCCCATCACAAGGAACTAGTCACATTGTGTAGCAGAAACTATGTTCTCCTGAAATGTCTTCACAAATAGTGTCTTCTCTCAGTTCAAAAGAAAAACAGCTTTCTTTCCCTCCAATGGGCCTGTGGCTGCCGCCCTGTAGGCCACTCCTTCCCACAGAAATTTCCGGGATACGGAGGCTCTTTTATCCAACCTCTGTTTTTGTTTTGTCTTGTAACAGGGTCTTACTCTGCAACCCAAACTGGCCTGAAATTCCCTGCATAGCCCAGGCTGGCCTTGAATTCACAGCAATCTTCCTGCCACAGCCTCCCAAGTGCCAAGATTACAGTCATAGCCACCACACCCAGCTACTCGTGCTTTCCTTTGAGGGGCTGGATGCATCAGCCTTCATAACGCAGAGTACTGTGCTGGGATCACTGTGCCAGTCCACAGTGAAGGAGAGTGGGATAGGCACAAAGGACAGAAAACAGATGAGTTTGGGAACAATGGAGGTTTTCCCAAATAGCCCACAGTGAGGTAGGGTGGGTGTGATGGCTAATCCTGGGTATCAACTTGACTGGATCTGGGATTAACTGAAATGAAAGAGATCTTCTTGATTGGATCATCTGAAGCTGGAGGACACACCCTAAATGTGGGTGTTACCTTCTGATGGCAGCTGTACAAAAGGCCAAGGCAGAGGAGAATGCCTGGCTTCTTGCTGTTTGCCTTCTCTCTCGCTGGTGAGTTCATCTTGCTGCTGTAGACTGAAAACTAGCAGATCTTTTGGAACTCGTCAGACCTTCAGCACCAGATTGGGACTACTGAGACATCCAGCCTTGTGGACTGAGCAACTACAGATTCTCAGCCTCTCCAGTGTGATGCAGTCATTGTTGGACTACTCAGACTCTATCCTGTGAGCTAAGCTGCTAAATCTCTATACATATATATTCATTTTACCGGTTCTGTTCTTTAGAGAACCCTGACTAATACAGTGGGCTACCCACTAGGAATCCAAAGCTCCCCAGAATTCAAGAGGGAAAGGATATGCCCAGAAGTAACTGTGGGAGACAAAGGCACTGACAGTGCACAGCAGACTCACCTGGACGGCTTTTACCTTCCTAACGCTGGCAGGTGCCTAGTGGAAAAGTCACTGTTCAAAATTGTACTGAAAATCAAAAAAGGTCTATAGTCATCCTAAAAGGTCCCTCCTCAGATGAGTGAGACAGATGCCACTGAGACCAACGTTTGAGGTATCTTTAATATAGATTTGAAAGTGGCCTCTGCCACGTGCTCTCTGCCTACTGGAGAGTTCCAGAGTCCTTTTTCTAGAAGCAGCTCAGGGACAAACAGCGGGTGTCACGCTGACTTTGTCACACCTCCTACTGTGGGGATCAGAGAAGTAATATTCCTATCACCAAGCCACTTACATGAAAATGCAGTATAATCTTCCAAATCAGGCCAAGAATAATGGATGGGTTTCCCTCTACAATATCAGCAACATGGATATTTATTAGCTTGATCTGGAAACAGAAACACAAGTTAAGAAAAGGAAACATTCCATCAGACTGGTCCCTCCTATGACTTAGGTGTGATTTATACTCACTGATCTGTTTTTCAGGAATGTCAGGGCATGTTCTATGTTGATTCTACACTGAAATGTATTGGATCCTTTATCCCGAGGCTAGGAAATTCAAGCAAATACATTACTCAGAAACAGGAAGTGTATTTTAATTGAAATTTTGTGACTTTCAGCACAATATAATTTGATAGCATTTAGATTTCCCCTTTCCTATTCACACCTCCCCTTGTTGGCCCCATCCCATTTAATGGTCTCCATTTTATAGATAATAAGGCCTATAGAGTCTAATTTGTGTCCCCAAATGCCCTTCGATATGGGTCCATCCACTGGAGCCTGGTTAAATCCACCAAGTTTCTTGGTGCCATTTCAAAATCTTACCAACTGCTGTCCAGAGAGTACTTCTAACAGGTCCAGAAGGACGTGCCCCTTTTTAATGTCTGTGAATAAGTCAGATATAACCGAGGGAGGTGTGTGCTGCAAAAGAGAAAAAGAAACGTAACCATGCAAACTGTGGTCCAAAAACACTGTACCTTTGAGAATCTCCTAAGGAGTGCTGTGTCTTCATGAAAGCTAAAATTCAGCAGAAATTATCGTTTAATTAAAAGGATGACACAGAACATGCAAGGTTCCATTTCAAAGCCTGGTGAGAAAGATCTCACAGAGATCCATCTGCCTCTGCCTCCCGTCTCAACCTGGTCTACAGAGCAAGTTTCAAGTTAGCTGGTGCTACAGAGGAAGGAAGGAAGGGAGGAAGGGAGGGAGGAAAGGAGGGAGGGAAGAAAGGGAGGAAGGGAGGGAGGGAAGGAAGGAAGGGAGGGAGGGAAGGAAGTGAGGGAGGGAGGAAGGAGAGGGAGGGAGGGAGGGAGGAAGGAGAGGGAGGAAGAGGAAGAGGAGGAGGAGGTGGTAGAGCAGGAGATAGAGGAAGAAGAGGAGGAGGAGGAGGAAGAGAAAGAGGAGAAGGAGGAGGTGGAGGAGGAGGTAGAAGTAGAGCAGGAGATAGAGGAAGAAGAGGAGGAGGAGGAAGGAGGGAGGGAGGAATCCTAAGGGTTTGGAAGATACAGGTCAATGACAGAGCACTTGCCTAGCATGCAATGGGCCTTGAGTTCAATGCCCAGCACCACAAGGACTGAAAAAAAAATGTGAGGTGGGTATGGTAGCCCTTCTGGAGTCTCAACTACAGACTGAGATGGGTGAATGACTTGAATATAGGAGTTCAAGACCAGCCTGGATAACATAGCAATACCTCATCTCAAAACATAAAATTTTAGGGGGCTGTAGAGATGGCTCAGTGGTAAAGAGCACTGGCTGCTCTTGCAGAAGACCTGGATTTAAATCCCAGCACCCACGTGGTTGCTAACAACCATTCATAACTCCAGTTCCAGGGGATCTGACGCCCTCTTCTGTCCTCCTTGGACATTGCATGACACTTGCATACATGCACACAATACACACATATACATAAAGTAAAAAATAAATAAAAATAATAAAAATTTTAAAATAATAAAATTAACTTGAGCACAACTGGTGATCTATAGTGTACTGTTTCACTTAGCCATGATTTAAAAGCAGCAAATGTCATGAACATTCATAATTGTTACATTTAATGAGCTTAGGATCATGTCTAACATGCATCACTCAATACAGACAAATATCACATTATTATGTCATTTGATGAAAGAAATTCTACCACTTTAAATATTTTTACAGCACTGTCCAGATCCTTAACAAGCGCCTCTTTCTTGTACTGGGAAAGAATAACAAATACGCCAGAAGATCGGGGTGAATGTTAACATTCTATTATGAAAAGACATTCCACAACCTCCTACATGTCATCAGTGCCATCCTGCATTGTAGCCAAGGCTGGCCTTGAACTCTTGATCCTCCTGCCTCCACCTCCCATGTTCCAGATTCACAGGTGTGCTGCCCCACCCCCAACCCTGCGCCCCCACCTGGCTGATGCATTCTCTCAATGGCCTCCTCCAGCAGAAGCTGAGAGACTGAGAAGGCAGTAACTGTCTTTACAGTTCAATTTGCTCTTTCCTCCTCACCTTTGCCAACTGTGAGTTTATCCAGCAGGTGAAGGTTTTCTTCTGAGTGTCTTCCTGCTCAGCTACAAAAGAAAAAAACATCAGCAATTACAAAATGAGCCATCCAATTCCTTTGGAATCTAGGAAAGCATCAAAAGTCTGCCACTCTGGGAAGGTCTATAGATTTCATCAGACTAAATTTCAGATGGTTAACCAAACACTGTTTGGGCATAAGAGAAGACATGAGGAAAAATTTTTGAAAGCCACAGGTTAGCTGACAAGAAATAAATTTTTTGTTTGTTGATTTTTTTTTTTTTTTTTAAGACAGGGTCTCACTGTGTAGCCCTGGTTAGCCTAGAACTCACTATGTAGATCAGGCTGACCTTAAACTCAGAGAGGTAAGTCTGCACTGCCCTCCATGTGCTGGGACTAACAGTATGCACCACCATACCTGGCCATGAGATGCTGGGTTGTTGTTTTTGTTTTTTAGTATTTTATTTATTATTTTTATGTTACATGTATGAGTGTACTGCCTGCATGTACATAAGTACACCTGTGTCGTGCAGTGCCCATGAAGGTCAGAAAATGGAGCTGAATTCCTCTGGAACTGGCGTTATGGATCGTTGGTAGCCACAATGTGGGTGCTGGGAATAGAACCTCAGTCCTCTGCAAGAGCAGCTAATGCTCTTAACTGCTGAGCCAGCTCTCCAGCCCCGAGATGATGGTTTGTTTGTGTTTTTTTTTTTTTTTTTAACTAAGAAAACAAGTCTGTTCACAGCCTTGTACTGTTCAAGGAAATATAAAAAATCAGAACAGTTCCTGACCCAGAGCATCAGGATCACCCTAGGACATCTAGAGATCTTTTCAAGGGTTTACAAAGTCCTTGTAGTTTGGCCTTGCCATTTATCAAGCAAATTTATCACGCAAAATATACTGCTATTTAGTTAACTATAAAGCAGTCTGGATTCGAATCCCATTCTGGTAACCAAATGACCATGTGACCTTAAACAGCGACCTTGTGTAACAAGAGAATGACAGACATCTCTGGAGGCTGTTTAGAGAGGCAAATAATTCACCTAGCGTACTTGGCACAGACTGGCACATAGCAAATGCATAAGGCATGCTCTCATTAACCAGACAGGAGTTAGGGTTGGGGTTAGGATGAACATTCAGAGTCTATACTCTGCTTCCTCTCTGGGCAGGGATGGCCCCACCAGCATTCCAATCCCTCCATGTCAGGAGACATTCTCAATTCCCAGAGACGCCCACACAAGCACTGAGCCTCATTTCTTCCCCAGCCCTCCTCATACTCCTGCTCTCTGGCTGATGCTCACAGCCTTGCTGCCACTAGTGACCATGAACTCACCACATCTCATCACCCTGACTTCTACTTCACCTACAGCAGTTAAAATACAGAGATGCACATGGCATAAACACACAATGCACACACATGCTCACCAGCCTCCATTGTACACCATCACAGACACAGCAGGTTCATTACCAGAACTACAGCTCCTCTATAAGCTCAGAGACATTCCCCTCTCTAAACATCTCCCTCCAGCTCTGAGCTCTCTCCTCTGGTGCCCAACTCCAAGAGCCCTTTGAGCCCCTTAGTAATCCCAAGCCACTAACTGTCAGCTTTTCATTATCCCTCACCCTCTCGATAGCCCTCCTATCTCCTTTATCCATCCTAAGTCTAATGCTCAGTTACTGCCAATATTCACATGCATCTCATCTGTCCTGTATTTGGCACTCTTTTTTCCATGCACCTCAACATACAGGTGTGCTGCTGCATGAAGCCCAGGCAAACCCCACCAGTGATAAGCAGTCTCACCAGCACCCCCTGATGGACCCTCAAAGCTGCCCAACAATCACAATTGATAACTCACTCCCACCCCTGGAGGTGTAAGCAATTTCACATCTCCTTCCTCGTACACTCAATACCTCCCCTCCTTCACTCATATACTCCTCTGAGACCTTTCTTTGTTGTTGTTTGTAGGGCATTAATTGATATAGGAAGATTCAGCCCATTGTGGGGTCCTAAACTATGTAAGAGCTAGATGCAATCAAGCAAGCAAGGATTCGTTTACTTTCTTTGCTCTTGCCTGGGGTCGTGATATAAACAGCTGCTTGAGATCCTGCCTTAACTTCCCTGAAGGAATGGGCTGTAACGTGGAATTGTAACCCAAAGACTCTTTCCTTCTCTAAGTTGCTTTTTTGCTTTTTGGTCCGGTTATTTTATTAGAGCAACAGAAATAAAGCTAGCACATTGTTCTTTGTTTTTTGTTTGAGACAGTGTCTCATGTAGCCCAGGCTGGCCTCAAATTCACTGTATAGCTGAGGATGACCTTGAACTTCTGATCCTCCTGCCTCTATCTCCCAAGTACAGGGATTATGGGGATCGAAGCCAGAGCTTCGTACAAGCTGGGTGAATACTCTACCAACTGAGCTACATCCCCAGCCCAGGAGCCCTTTCTTCCTAAAACATTCAGCAGTGATGCCATTCCCCATCTAACAGCCTTCTCCAAAGCACTCCACTCCAACTTGTTGGCAAACATCAACGAGCCTTGCCCGGGCCCAAAGCAAACCCTCCTTTCATCTACTAGATCCTATCGCTTTTTAATGACTCAAGGGTATTTTGCTCCTTTCTCTTCCATATCAGCACAGACACATACTGTTAATTCTCCCATTGAAAATAAAAACCTCTCTTTGCTCCTGTTCTCCATCAGCACTTCTTCAATTGTTTGCTCTCCTTTGTGGCAAAACTCAAAAAGAATTTATGCTAACTGTCCGTAGGTCCTCTCCTCACACACTCTTAATTAGTCCCACAGTAGTCAGACCCTTACTATTCCACTGATTTGCTCTTACCCAGGTCACCAGGAGTCAAGGCCATCAATGATCCCCCTTCTCACTAAAACCTATGGCTGTGTCAAGGTCATTAATCCCTTTTGTCACTGAAACCTAAGGCTGGTCTTTAGTCTTCATCTTCCTGGACCACCCAGCAGCACCCTCAACAGAAGACCGCTGTCTCCTATTCCCAGAACCCATAGTCTCCTTTTCCTCCTCTATCACTGCCTGGCTCACGTCTTCCTAATGCCTTGAGAAATCCTCTTGGATCCATCTTCAAAACATACTCTGGGGCTGGGGAGGTAGCTGGGTTGGTGAAGTGTTTGCCTTGTAAACAGGAGGACCTGAGTTCAATCTCTGGGGCTTATATTAAAAGAAACAAACAAACAAAAAAAGCTGGCCATGAGGTGCACACAGGCTCCAGTGGTATAATATAGATAAGGAAAAGAAGGTATATCCAGAACACGGGTGTGTGGGGGGGGGTGTCTGTCTGTGTGTGTGTGTGTGTCTGTGAGCGTCTGTGTATCTAGTTATGTGTACATGCATGCGGAGGCCAGAGGACAACCTCGGATGTTGTTCCTCAGGTGGTATCTAATTTATCTGTTTATTTATTTGAGACAGAGTCTCTCACTGGCTTGGACCTGCCAAGTATAGGCTGGGCTGGGTGGCCATGAGCCTCAGAGATCTACCTGTCTTCACCTCTCTAGCTCTCGCATTATATGCACGCACCCCATGGCCAGACACAGACACAGACACACAGACACAGACACACAGATAGACACAGACTCACAGATAGACACAGACTCACGCGTGCGTGTATAAACACACACACACCCCATGTTCTGGACATACCTTCCTTATCTATATTACACCCTCTTCCTGGGATATTGTGATGTATTCCTACCAAATTTAGGCCCTTAAAATGTTTTAAATTTGATGAGTATTCAGAATTATACAATGTCGTAATTGTCCAGTAAGTTTACTGTAACTAACTGTAAGTGATGCGCTCAGCCTCACTATAACTTTTTCCTTTAAAAATCCACCTGCATTTCTATGCATTAATTCAAGCTCATCATAGTTCAATGACTTACACATTATAGGGTGGTCAGTAATTGTTACCTAAATTGAACTGGGTTCTGACAAGCCAACTGGATACTTTGGGGGTTTGAGAGAGAATGTTGTTTTATTTCATTTTGTAAAAGTTATAAGAACCACAGTTTCATCCTATTATTCAGAAAGTCACTAAGTCTCTGGAATCAGATGTTTTCAGTATTTTTGCTTTCCTCTCAGTAGATGATAAAACAACTTTTTAAAAATGTTTTATTTATTATTTATATTTTTAGTGTATGAGTGTTTTACCTGCATGTGTGTAAGTGCACCTGTGTTGTGCAACGCCTGTGAAGGTCAGAAGAGGTGTCGGATCCCCTGGAACTGGAGTTACAGATGGTAATTAGCTGCCATGTGGGTGCTGGGAACCGAACCTGAGTCCTCTGCAAGAGCAACTAGTACTCTTAACCCCTGAGCCATCCTCCAGCCCCCAAAACAACTTTTAAAAATGTACTGAGCTTATGAGAAATGCATTGAGAGCTACTTTGTTTTTAAACAGGGAGAAAAAAACTGGAGAACAAGTTTTTATGGTTCTAAGATCAAGTTACATGAATAACACAGTGTACATTTACCAAGCTAGACAAGACCTATCCAGCCCTAACTATAAAGCAGAAGTTCAAAATAAAATAAATAAAAAATAATAGTAAAAGAAAAAACAACCTTTTCTTTATCCTCAAAGGTTCAACAGAGTCTTCTTTCTAGGAGATAAAGTATGAAAAGGCAACTGAGCAGGAATATCACCAAACCTAGGAGACCAAGTCTGCCTAACTGTAGGGAAGACACAGGGGGAGGAGGAAGGAAGAGTTCACATTAAATAACCTTAGGGGCAGAATGTGGCACAAAGCCAGGTTCGGTGTGAGCATCCTCAGCCTCGGAGGCTCAGTACTCTGTGTCGCTCTGGAAATCACATCATTTGAAGTGTACCCCCAACAAGAGGAGCATTCATTTTACGTCCATGTGACATTAGACAAAACAAGTCTTGGGACTGAGCACACTGGGGTCTCTGAGCTTTCCCAGGCTGAGAAAACAGACACCAGAATCAAGGTTCTCACTAAATGGCTGAAAATACAGCACCTAATCTGCGGTTACACCGAGGAATAATCCCTGACCAACACACAAACCTGAATGA